TTACAAAATGGCTGCTACAGAACATCAAACCACATGTTGTCAATCATGGAAAATCCACTAAAATATGGAATTTAATGGAATATTCTATTTTTTCACAGTTACCTCAGAATAAAGTCGGTCACACCAGTGACTTCAGCTAAAAGCTTCATATGAAATTATGAGCTAAATGAGAAAATCTCTGATAGCTGAAAGACACAGTGGACTCACCATGAGCTTTTCTCATAGATCCTCAGAAAACAGGTAAAAGGAAGTCGAGTGATGTCATCAGTGTGACTTTTATTTCAAAATAAGAGTTTTTTTATTATGCGGTAACACCAGTGACACGACTCCTGGGGACCACAACTTTCATTATATATTTTATAATATTTATTTGGCGTTTGTTTTCTTTATGTCATTTACTTTATATATTTCATAGTCATGTATAGATTATTGTAGTTAAAATTGCAGAAAAACATTTTTTTCTTCAAAATATGGCCTCAGCCTTTACACACGACTGTGAGGACGAGCTCTTCTGTGGTGCTTGGAATTCTATATAATTAATTTAAAAACCAATATTGCTAAATTGAGGCTCAAGAAGGTGTAATTGATAAAATAACTTATTGTTGTATTTTAAAATATAAATAAATTGTAACCCTAACATGTTTTTGAAGTGTAATATATCTGTAAACACTAGGGACACAAAAATGGACTTTTCTGTAGAATGACCCAAATATATATATAGAAAAATGTCGGATTTCCTATACCAGTGAATCTTTAAAAGGTCCACATCATGGAAAAACATGGAGAAAGTTTTCATAAATCTGTATCAGTGTCAGAAATGGCCTGTTTAAATCTAAAGGATGACGAGACGTTGGAAAATGGTTAAGAAATATGAATTCTGAGTACATAAACCTGTGCAAACTTCATAAGCAGACCTCAGTACAATGGAGGAAAAGTGTATCGTGGCTTTTTAAATGCAGCTCCGGCTTTCATATTCAATTAAGAAAGACTGAGCATCTCCTTTGGACGTACTTCTCTGCTGTAGAGACTTCGGGTTGGCATAGTCCTTAAGGCAGCCTGACCGATTCCCTTAATCAAAACTTAAACACTTCCCATTTTAGGGATCTGTGCCGTTAACATTTATTTGGAAATCTATAACCGAAATCAATCCTCTTAGTCGCTGTTTAATGGCTGCCTTGAGTGTCTTGGTCCAGCGAGCGCGCGCTTGTTAATGTCTCGGTATCCATGTTTGGAAAAGAGTTTGATAGCATTGCCATCTAGGGGCTGGATATAAGTCTCAGTGCTGAAATAAAGTGGAATGAAGCAGCTGTTGCTATTGACAGTGTGCATATGTTTGCTGGGTTTATAGTCCAAACGCGTTCCATATTTCACGGCGTTAAATAGGTACCTTTTAAACGGCCCGCCGCCTCCCGGCGTCGTAATGGATGCGGGTGTAAAAAGCTGTCGCGGGGGTTTTGCTGACGATTGACTGTTGGTGCCAGACCTTATGCTGATGCCATGCTGGCACTGGATTCATGAAATCTGTGGTTTTTGCCTTTAGTTATGGGCTCAATTAATCCAGTTAGCTGTTAAAGGCATGGAAACTATTTACGAAATCCATATTGTGTCAGACGTGCATTCTGCCAGCTTTGCTATCTGAGAGCAGTTTCACTATTATGGTAATTTTTGCCCTTGTATGCCAGCGTTGCTGAGTAGGGATGATAACAGCTTTGTAATCCTGGTCCAAACTGGATACAGTTTACTGTTTACTGGACCTTGGCATTCAAATGCATGAGCCATCTAGTGAAAATGCCTGTACTGAGATCAGTTCGGAATGAAATTGGGGCACGAATGCACAAAATGGCACTAAAGTGTTGCACTGAACTGCTGTGAGTAAATAGGATAATATACCATCTGTAATTGCCTGAAATGTTGTTCACCTTTTGCCAGGCTGCTGAGTAAATATAAAATCTGTTTTTTTAGCAGCCCGGGTTTAAGTGCCTGAATGTGTCTTAAATACAAAACTGGACCTAAACTTTTAGTCAGTAAACCAAATACATGAAGTACCACCATAATACAGTAGTACTGTGGACAGTTACACCGATCAGGCATATCATTCTGACTACCTCCCTGTTTCTACGCTCATTGTCCATTTTATCAGCTCCACTTACTATATAGGTGCACTTTGTAGTTCTACAGTTACAGACTGTAGTCCATCTGTTTCTCTGATTTTGTTAGCCCCCTTTTACCCTGTTCTTCAGTGGTCAGGACCCCCATGGACCCTCACAGAGCAGGTACTATTTGGGTGGTGGGTCATTCTCAGCACTGCAGTAACACTGACGTGGTGGTGGTGTGTTAGTGTGTGTTGTGCTGGTCTGAGTGGATCAGACACAGCAGTGCTGCTGGAGTTTTTAAACACCTCAGTGTCACTGCTGGACTGAGAATAGTCCACCAACCAAAAATATCCAGCCAGCAGCGTCCTGTGGGCAGCGTCCTGTGACCACTGATGAAGGACTAGAGGATGACCAACACAAACTGTGCAGCAGCAGATGAGCTATCGTCTCTGACTTTACATCTACAAGGTGGACCGACAAGGTAGGAGTGTCTAATAGAGTGGACAGTGAGTGGACACTGAAGTGTTTAAAAACTCCAGCAGCACTGCTGTGTCTGATCCACTCAGACCAGCACAACACACCACCACCACGTCAGTGTTACTGCAGTGCTGAGAATAACCCACCACCCAAATAGTACCTGCTCTGTGAGGGTCCATGGGGGTCCTGACCACTGAAGAACAGGGTAAGAGGGGGCTAACAAAGTATCAGAGAAACAGATGGAGAAACAAGGAGGGGGTCATGATGTTATGCCTGATCGGTGTAAATACAAGTAGATAGTAGAAATCTTAACATTATTCAGGTTCAGAATTTGTCTTTTTCACCTTGTTTGTTTATGTTCTCAGTCATATTAAGCACCATTCATCATATCATTTAAAATTCACGTGGACCGTCTTGAGGTCAGGGTTTAAAAAGACTAAATTCTCGGGTTCCCGTAATACTTACATTATCGCTTTATCCCACCTCAAAGATGTCTTCTGACTTTTGATGACGTTGCTGTGAACAAGTGGGCAGGGGAAATTATATTAACCAGTAATATCACATTTCACCTACCTCCTCCCATCACCCCCACTCATCATCAAGCTCAGCTGGATTAGGGACCCCTTGTTACGATACAGACGGAAAATGCATTATAATTTCCCATTCGCCTTGACTTTACACTTCAGAATATTACTTTAGCAGGTGAATAGATATTAAATGTAGTAAATATGTCTATTTCTGTTTTTTCTTTTGTTATTTGTTATTACAGGGTCGTGTTTCATTGGCAGACCATTTTACTTGTTTCAGGAATTATTTCTTGAAATAAGCAAAATGATCCGCACTGGTTCTTGAGTAAAATGTTCTACTTTCACTTGATAAAATTACTTAAAACAAAGTACAGAAATAGCATTTATGCAAAGTGGACCTTACTGATGTGCTCTAATGACTTATTCCAGATATATCATAAAGACTCAGTGAGACGCTCTTTGGTAACAAAGTTGAATGTCCTTATATTTAAAGTCCACTTCACACCGGACACTCAGTGTAGTTTTAATCATAACATGTAAGAGTGCCTTGGTGTGAAGGGATCTTTGTACAGAAACAGGTTGAATTCTTACAACAGTTTCATAATGAGAAATATTATATATATTGAATAGATTTCAGATGATTTCACTCGCTAATGGTGCGTATCCACTTGCACTTTTTCTGGCTGCACTCCGCCGCACCAGATCTGTCTGCTTGCTGCTGGTGGGCGCTTCGTTATGGAAAGGAAAGAATGGTACTAAACATATTCGGGCCAGTAAGCAATCCGATATGCTGTTTGCTGATGCACAGAAGCTTTCAGTGAGACTGAAATATAGACGTTTGCTTTTTAGGGCTTTCAGAATGCAGCAGTCATACACACAGACTAGACAGTTAGGGGGCAGTTGTGGGCTGGAGGTTAGGGAACCGCAAAGTCACCGGTTTGATCCCCTGAGCCGTCATTTTTTAACGGAGAAAATTCTCACATTTATGTGTTTCTTTGGTCGTTTGTTCAGCCATCGTACTGGTTTTTCTTTTTTTCTCATAACTCTCTGTTTGGAGTCTCTGAAAAACCTCTGTTTGGAGAGTCATGAAGCCCCAACACTTCACCCTCCCCCTCTATCTCAACAAGAATCAGAACACCCTACCCCTAGATGTGACTGCGCAAAACAGAGGGCTAAGGGCTCAGTGGTAGGGGCAAGGGATGAAATGGGATTGGGCCTAAGTCTTAGTATGTAATAAGCTTGGAATGTCGGAATGTTGAGGATTAACTTACATTTACAGCATTTAGCTGACGCTCTTATCCAGAGCGACTCACAAAAAGTGCTTTGTTGTCTACCTAGAGGAAGTGTCTTTGCTAGTTACAGACTTACTTCTACAAAATGTAAGTATTTCTGCCCAGTGAAAGTGGTTACTCCCCTGGCAAGTGAATTTACTTTTTTGAATGCACTTTTTAAAAAAATGCAAATTATATTGTTTTTTTTTTTTCTTCAAGAAGTGGTTCTTGATGGAATAAGACAGTTTCACTAGATAAAGATACTTAAACTTGGACTCTACATAATACACACAGCATTCTCATAACCATGCCATAAACTTTTTACGACAGATGTCATAGTGTTTGATGTCCTGACCACTTACTAAAATACATTTAGAGGGAATTAACCTGTGACATAACATGTGACAATTACTAGCAATAGTGACATGACACTGTTATACTATCGAACAAAATCTCTCATGACAACTCATGACATCTGCAGTGTTTATGGCATGGTTATATCAGTGTTATGTAGCAGAGTTCAAGTCTTACCTGGCTGTTTTTTGTTTGCCTAAATGAAATGAATCAGGAATTGAGTTATGAGGTATTTTTGCTGAATTCTGTCTCTGTGTCTGTGGTTGTATCTGCTCCAGGGCGATGTGTATCAGGCCCATGTGTTTGGATTGGAACCATACACCACCTACAGTGTGCGAGTGGAGGCAGTGAATGGGGCAGGTACTGTGTCCAGCCCCTCGGCCGCAGTACGCACTCTGCAGGCTTCGCCCAGCAGCCTGGCCAACTTCAGCGTCGAGAAGAGAGAGCATGGAAGAGCTCTGCTGCTACACTGGCCTGAACCAGCCTCGCCCAATGGAGTCATTAAGGTACTTAGAAAAGCTATCCTCAATAGTCTGAGCAGGGGCTCTCAAGTCCAATCCTGGGGAACCAGTGTCCTGCACAGTTTTAACTGCCTTAACACACCTGGTGAGGCTCATAAGGTAGATATCAAGGTGGCAGCAGTGCAGGGCAGCAGGTCCTTAGGAACTGGAGTTGAGAACCTGCAGTGTAGAGATCTTTAGTAAGTGACAGGAGCTGGACAGAGTCAGAATTGGTTTTGTCAACTCGAACATCTATTAAGGACGAGTTATTCAGGTTCTATTGCCAGGAAAAAAAGAGAGAAACATATACATGTAACAGAAAATTACACAGAAGCCTTAATAACTAAATATAGTATAATTTTTTTCAGGCAAAGAAATCTGTAGGGATATTTATTCCCCACCTCCAAAGTTCAGTCTCAGAAGTTAGTTGCTTTTTCTGCTTCACACAATCCAAGTAAACCCAAACATATTTTCAACACTGATGTTGAAGTCTGGACTCTGGGGTGGCCAGTCCATTTTTCTGAGAACACCAGCAACTTCTTGACTTCTTTGTTTTGGAAATGTTTATGGTAACACTTTCTATGAATGACACGTTTGTAAGCATCTATAAACACATTCAGAATTTGAATTAATCTAAAAGATAAAAGCTTTAAGTATGTTTATCTGATGATGTTAGTATTGGTGGTCTACCATGTTTTGCATGGTTATTCAGAGTCCAATTTTCTATGTTTATTTTAATTTTTTTTTTTTGGTTCCAGTTTTGGAAACATTTATTTTTTCAAACATTTATTTTTTCAAATAAAAGTACCTTTAACTTTCCTGTTCCTTATGCAAATTAACATTTTGACTGGAAATTAAATAAATGACTTCATAACTCATCTCTTGAAGGCTTGATATGTAGTTAGGTCAACACTGCTAATTTCTCTGTTTCTGTTTCTGTAGATGTATAATATTTTCAGTGATGATAATCTGGAGTTCAGTGGTCTCTCGCGTCAGTTCCTGTTCCGCCGCTTGGAGCCCTACACCACGTACTCTCTGGTTCTGGAGGCTTGCACTGAGGCAGGCTGCACCAGGACCGCCCCCCAGCTCGTCACCACCGAGGAGGCTCCCCCCTCCTCCCAGCTAGCCCCTACAGCCCTGCACGTGGGGGCCCACAGTGTGGAGCTCCACTGGGCTCCCCCTGGCCAGCCCAATGGCAGGATCCTGCAGTACCAGGTAATGGCTATGAGTGTGGAGGACAGCAGGGTCAGGAGTGATGAAGATGACTCAGTGTGGGTGAAGGTCGTGTTCACGGAGAATGCCGTGGAAGCTGGTAGCTTCTCCTGCAATGTATCTGGTCTGCAGCCGTGGAGCAAGTACAGGTTTTGTGTGCGTGTTTCAAACGCAGCCGGTTCGACTGACAGCCCCTGGTTGACCGTTCACACTAAACAAGCTCCTCCTAGGGGACTGGCTTCCCCAGCTGTCAGTCACCTAGAGGGACGGCCTTATGAGCTTTTTGTGTCCTGGACACCTCCGCTGGAGCCCAATGGTATCCTCGTCAGCTACAGGATTCAGAGGGACAGTGTCGGCTTTCATTTCAGCTTCGACTCATCAGTGCTGAACTATACGGATGAGGATTTGACAGCTGACACCGACTACAGCTATGCAGTCATTGCGTGCACAATAGCTGGCTGTGTCACCAGCCGGCCAACTACAATCAGGACTTTAGAAGCAGCCCCTGCGACAGTAGAACCACCCGTAGTGTCCAGTGTCACAGCCCATTCCCTCAGTGCAGCGTGGACCGTACCATCCATCCAGAATGGGGAGATATTAGAATACATCCTCCAGGTTAACCAAGAGAGGGTTTACCGCGGGAAGAAGCTGACCATGGAGGTGACCGATTTAAAGCCACACACTTCTTACATCCTGATCTTAACAGCCTGCACGAACGGAGGCTGCACTTCCAGTCCATCCACGTCAGCTCAGACCGAAGAAGCGCCCCCTACTGGTATGCTAGCCCCAGCTCTAAAAGTCACAGGCCCCGAGTCAGTGGAGGTGTCATGGAAAGAGCCCAATCACCCCAACGGCATCATCACAGGCTATGAGCTCAGGAGAGACGGGCGCGTCATCTACGCTGGCCTGGACACGCGCTACCACGACTTCACGCTGCTTCCCAGCGTCGAGTACAGCTACACCATCACGGCTAATAACAGCCAGGGCACGACCACCAGCCCCCCAGCTGCGGCCCGCACCCAGCCTTCAGCTCCCTCAGGGGTGGCCCCTCCCCGGCTGCAGACTCTGGGGCCCTTCAGTGTCATGGTGCAGTGGGATCCCCCAGCTCGGGCCAATGGAGTCATCATCAGCTACTCGCTGTACAAGCGGGACCCCGCCGAGCCCAATGTGAAGAGGCTGATCTTTGCGCCACATCACAGTGCCTTCCAGAGCCGCAGCTTCTCCCTCACTGCTCTGAAGCCCTATTACAGGTAGTGCTGCCATTATTACTGATGATGGAGATGATCTAGCTCATAGATACACGTACCTAGATGCCATATTGGGTCCAGCCAGGCACGTCAATGGCGCCGCCATTTTAGGGTGGTCAACATCGCTGCTGAACTGCATTCAGTACCATTACAGAGCGACAGCTGAATCCTGTAACAATACTGTCCAAAATTCTACTATTTCCAGAACATTGCACCCAGAAAGCGGGATAGGATTATATAACGGAAGGAAAGGCACCAGTCTACGCTCATGTTTGTGTGATGTTTGTGTAGATGTGGCCGTGTGGTTGGAGAGGAGAACCAGTTGATGTGATTGTTTTTCCTCTGATTTTATATTAAGCTTGTTTTATTTAATAGTCTATTCAGGGGGCCTTAAGTTTATGTAGTAGTTATTTGATTATAATGATGGTTGATGCTTTGTAGCTCGGTAAATTATAGCATTCCTTAATCCGTGTAGATATTCCTAATAGATTAACGTGAAGACCTTCTTACACAAACCTGAGATTTGGTTTTTAGTTGCCGGCTTCTTGTTCGAATTTTCCCCGTTCCACCTTAAATGGTGCGGCTTCAGGCACCAGAAAGTGACTGCTGCACCATTTAAGGTGGAACCGGAAAACTCGAAGAAGAAGCCGGGAAATAGGAAACCAACTTCAGCTTTATGTGTATTAAGGTTAGAAGTGATCCACACATGGATGGATTTGCTGATGTGTCTGATTGTGTTTCTCGTGCTAAAGTTTTAACGCAGACTGAATACTTTCCTGCTGGTCCAGACGGCTAAATTTCACGATCAGTTATTAAAGTAATAAAAGCTACCAAGAGCAGATCCGTGCAGCCTGGATTAATCTGTGTCTGAGGATTATAACTAAACAGATTTGGTGAAAATCGGTTGAGTAGTAAGGAAGTTGTGGCTGATTTGCAAGTGAATCTGTTCACAAGTGGATCTTGACCTCTCCAACATGGCGGACGTGCAGACGTATCGCCTCAGATAGAGAGTAACAGACAACGCGGCGTCTCGGTATGTAATGATCTAGCTTATGTTAAAGAGGAGCTTACAGTAAGAGTTTGGAAGATTTACACCATTTTCCCTTAAACGTAATCAATTAATCTCAGACAGGTTTGGTTTGTGAGATTCGCTTCTGTAGTTTTGCACTGGAGCTAAAGGCTAATGCAGCAAAGTTATTGTAGCGTAGACTCCGCCAGTTAGCTTCATACAAGCGGCTTAACTAAATTAGCTACATTAGCTAACATGCTATCTTCAGTGCAAAGCCAAAGAAGCAAACTCTGCAGAGCCCACGTGTCAAACACCAGGCCCAATCCTGTCCGGCCCGCAAATGTGTTTTAATGTTCTATTAATTTTAGCTCATTTCACAGTACACTGCACTACATTCCCCAGCATGCACTGCAACGTAATGCACACTCTGACTCCTACACCAACAACAATCTATGGGAAAGCGGTTACACCTCAATTCTACACAATTCTGTGTGATTCAACATCAGTCACATCACTAAACACACACACAGAGATTGAGCTCAAATATTAATGAACTTGCAGCAAAGAAAGGCTGGCAGGTGTCGAATTCAAGCAGACAGGTAGGTTTAAAGACTGAGGGACGTTTACGTTTAGAATATTCATGTAATTTTTCTAGGTTTACTGTAAGTGCCTGTATTTCACTGCTGAAGTTTTTGCGTGTGTTGAATAAACAGTGTCCAGATGGGGTCACAGCACAACAGCAATTACATGAAACCTTTTTTTTGGCCCACAGATTAGTTGAGATTTTTAATGTGGCCCCTTTAGTGGTCTTAGTGCTGTAGAGGGTCTCTTCAGTACAGAGCAGTGAGGATCTGGGTAACATTTCAGGACCGCGCTGTAAATAAGATATTAGTAGTGGGTGTTTTTCAGCACTCAGCATTATCTGGGTATTTTCCTTTCTTTCTTTCCTTCCTTCCTTCTTTTTCTTTTTTGAATATTTAATTCACTTTCTATTATTCTTTCTTTTTTGTCTTTTCCTTTCTCTTTTTATTATTTCATTCTCTTTCTTCTTTCTCTTTCTCTCTTTCTTTCTTTTTTGATTCATTCTCTTCATTTTTCTTCCCTTTCCTTCCTTCCTTCTTTCTTTCTTTCTTTTACTTTCTTTCTTTCTTTCTTTCTTTCTTTCTATCTATCTTGCTTTCTTTCTTTCTCTATCTATCTATCTATCTATCTATCTATCTATCTATCTATCTATCTATCTATCTATCTTCCTTTCTTTCTTTCATTCTTTTTCTTTTTTGATTCATTCTCATTTTTCTTCTTTTCTTCCTTCCTTCTATCTATCTATCTATCTGTCTATCTATCTATCTATCTATCTATCTATCTATCTATCTGTCTTTCTATCTATTGCTCTTTCTTTCTTTCTTTCTTTCTTTCCTCTTTCCTTTCTTTATTTCTTTCTTTCTTTCTGTTTTTTCCTCTTCCTGTATTCTCTTCCTTTTTCTTCCTCCACTCTTTCTTTCTTTCTTTTTTCTTTCTTTCTCTCTACCTTTCTCTTCATTTTTCTTTCTTTCTTTCTTTTGTTCTGTTGTATTTACTACACTCATTGATTTAATGACCGTATATCTCACTGAAGCCTGTGTTGTTTGCTGTGTGTCTGTAAAGTCTGCTACGCTGTGTTTTAATTATAGGGTCAGAGAGATTCAGCTGATCAATAGACAGAAAAGTGAATTAAAAAAAAGGATCTGGATATGGGGGGAGTGGAGGAGTCAACCTTGAGGCTTTTCCCTGTGTTCCCATCTCCTCAGCTTAGACAAAGACACTCAAAGGCGGGGAGGCGGACGGATGAAGGATGGCGGAAGGCCGTGTTCGTGTACGCATGTTGAAGTGAAATACAGATAAGCACGGGGGGGGGATAATAATAGCTCATCAGCATTATCGTTTCACCATCGCCACCTCCGTCAGACGACCTTCGCTCCATTCTCCTCCTCTCCTTTCCTCCTTTCTCCTCTGCCCCTCTATCCTGCTGCCGCTGACCCCGTCCCATAAAGACGCGCTGTGTTCTCCAGGCCAGGCCCGTTGCTTTGGAATCAAGGATTTAATTCCATTACAAATTTAATTGCAACAAATGTATTTTTAGGGGTCTCATTAACTGTTTTAAGATTGCAGATAAAATGTTTCCGACAGCAGAATGACTTTTTATATCTCCACATAACCCCATGTCAAATAAAATGTAAACGCTTTTAAAGATGAACAGTAACAGATTCCATGCAACCAGTTAAAGCTTATTTGAACTCAAGCCATCTGTGCTGTATTTGTATACTGGGAAATGGGGTGGGGGAGTTGGGGGGGGGGTGCTCAGCGCTCAGCGTAATTGCTTTTATTTCCATATGCGGCTCTTGTGCAGGTATGAAGTGCGAGTGGAAGCCTGCACGCTGCTGGGCTGCGCTGCGAGCGACTGGTCCTCCGTTCAGACGCAGGAGGCGCCCCCTGCCGGCCAGTCTGCACCACTGCTGGAGCTGCAGGCCGACTCCAACGGCATGCAGACTGTCTTCCTGCTCTCGTGGTCTCCGCCGGCCCAGGCTAACGGGAAGCTGCTGCACTACGAACTGTTTCGGAGGCCGGGCGAAGACGCAGAGGGCCGCTCTGCAGCCGCGCTCGTCTACAGCAATGTCTCCACCTCACACCACGACCGCGACCTGCTGCCCTACACGGCCTACGAGTACCAGGTCACTCATTTCACGCTTCCTGTTTTTCTTTGCTTTCAATTCCTCAGAGGATCATAAAACAGCACTAAACTACCGTTAAACAATAGAGAACGACAGGAAGCTGTTAAAAAAAAAATCACAGCAGAGAACAAAGTAATTAGCGCTCAGCTCAGCAGGGGCTTGACTGAGGCTGGGTTATAATAGAATATAGATCATATAGATAATGGCATCATATAATCAACATACAATAAAGGTAACTGTATTACAGATACAGGAAAATAGACAATAATCAGATTATAGGTCCATTATAAAAAAGGGTGATGTCTTCTTTCTTTCTCTCTTTCTTTTTGGAATATTTCATTCACTTTCTTTTATTCTTTCTTTTTTTCATCTTTTCCTTTCTCTCTTTTTTATTATTTCATTCTCTTATTTCTTTCTTTTTCTTTCTCCCTTTTTCCTTTTTCTTTCTTTCTTTCTTTCTTTCTTTGTTTTTTCATCTCTTCCTTTATTCTCTTCCTTTTTCTTTCTTTGTTTCTTTTTCTTTCTTTGTTTCTTTCTTTCTTTCTTTTTTCTGTTTTTTCATCTCTTCCTTTATTCTCTTCCTTTTTCTTTCTTTCTGCCTTTTTTCTTTCTTTTTTTCTTTCTTTCTTTCTTTCTTTTTCTCTCTTCCTTTATTCTCTTCCTTTTCCTTCCTTCCTTCCTTCTTTCTTGCTTTCTTTCTGTTTTTTCATCTCTTCCTTTATTCTCTTCCTTTTTCTTCCTTCTTTCTTTCTTTCTTTCTTTCTTTTTACCTTTCTCTTTATTTTTAATACATTATAATAATACATAATAATACATTACAGTTATTTTCTGCTAAATGCAGATTTTTTAATTTAGTGTGGTTGGGTGGACACGCACTAACTTGTTAGCTTTTCTTAACTGCTGACAGTTAGCTTGATGAAACAGTTTTGATGATGAAAGTGTGTTATCAGATATAAAAACAGTACATATACAAGATATAAAGAACCGTTATTGAACAGAATGCTTTTCACCCAATCAGATTATGTGTTTGAAATGAACCACTGTATAAAGCACACTTTCCACCTGCGTTTGAGATGTTAGAAAAATGAAATCACTTACATTGTATGGGTAGACGCTGATTGGGACATGCTTGTAGTATTTTTGCCATTTGTAATCTGTCAAAGCTGCTTCATCTCACATGGGTCTTCTAATCTCCGGCAAAGACATCGGGCCAAAACGATCTAAGATCTACACTAATTCATTGTGAGTAGTTTGATGTCAAATGGAGTCGGGATTGTTCACAGTGGCGGTGATAGGAACCAGACGTAACACCTCTAATAGATGCACTGATTATGAATACACTGCATGAGATACTGTTTTATGATATTTTTGGCTTAAAACATTTTTTTTAAATCCATTCATGGAATTAGAGCTACATTCAGGGTGCTGTAAGGCAAACAGTGCCTCACATCTTATCATTTTATCATTTTCAACAATAAATCTGAAAACTCAGAGGACATGTAGGTTGACCGATTGTTTTGGATGGCAAGTAAATTAGCTATATTTGCATTGTAGACATCGTGACACCTGGTTCCTATCACTACCGCTGTGTGCCTCCACATCCCTCCCGTATCAGACTATGACGCTTGCACTGGTCCAGCCGTGATAACCGATGAGCCCTCAGCTCCATTTCAGCCACGCTACCTCACTTCGGTTGGCATGACAGATGTTTAATCTAGCCCCCATATTCATAGCGCCGCTGTCCCTTACAAGACCTTTCTTAATTGACAGGCTAGCCTTTAGAGCAAAATAACATTAGCATTTGATTGTCAGACGTGAGAAGTGTGGGCCGGTCGCAGGCTAAATTGATAGACTCTACCTGATTGTTCTGTCTTATTTATGAGCGGTAATTTATGACAGCCGGCGGGCGGGGCCGAGCGACGACGGACAGGTGACAGGGCCATTAATCTCGGACCTGGCAGTGCACCGCTGATTACGATCGAAGCCATCGAATTAGCCGCCGCGGCCTCGCGAACGTACAAGCATCGGAAAGACCTTTTAATGCCTATTTGCTCTCCCTGGAGAGGATGCTAACTGTACTGGATGTGTGGGCTTGTGTGTGGGGAGGGTCCCTGAGTTTTAACCTACGCACTCACACACCAACCTGATTGTAATTTCAGTGGATTAGGAAGCTGATTTAATCCATTCAACCTCAGTCCATTTTTCACTTTTAAGGAGAGTCACAGTTATTACTGTGATTGATGCTTTCGTCCAAATGTCATAACACAGTCCCTCTTACCTTGTTTCGTTCCGCTGGGGCTTTGCTCTGGTCCAGCTTGCCTAGCAACACCAAACCTGCTCCACGAGCAGCAGCTACATATTTTATTGACACTTTTATGCCGAACCTTAATTAGCACTCCTATTGGAAGTGCTCGCTTTTGGCCCAGTGTTGATGAGCGGGGCGTGGTGGAACCCTCTCAGAACCTGTCGCTGGGCAGACTTTTCCCTCACTGCTTAAACTCAGATCCATTAGAGCTCACACATGACATATTTTTATTTTCCCCTAATTACCGTAATAACAGCTCAGTATGCAAGTGGTGGCGCAGCAATAAAAAGGTCTGTTCCGCCTGCAAGGACACGGGGATGTCCTAGTCTCACTCCGCAGTCGAGTCCGACACAGTACTTTACAGAATCTGCCCTGGTCCAGCTTGAATAGTGCTACTGTCTGTCTGTCTGATCCATTTGTACTTACAAAGCTCAGTTCCAAACTAGTTGTCGGAGTACGTGAAATGCAAATATAAACAGAAGCAGTGATTTGTAAATCGACTTCGACCTGCATTTAAATAAAAATAGTACCGAAGGCAAAATATTTTATGTTTGACCTTCACTGTTCTTTGTAAATATACACTCATTCTGAAACTGCAACAAAGTTGGGACTGGGGCGATTTAAACTAGAACCTTTGAAAAAAGTTAAAAAATATATCTTAAAACAGTTTTTGCAGTCATGCTCGAATATAAAAAGGGCATCCAGGATAGGCCTTGTGAGCCAGAATGGGTCGGGACTCGACACTGCAAGCAAGCAAGCAAAGTTTATTTAAAGCAGCTTTACAAAGAAATCAGCATTACAGAAAGAAATCCGGGTCCGAGCCCCCATGAGCGTCGCCAGTGGCGACAGTGGAAAGGAAAAACTCCCTAAGAGAAACAGGAAGAAACCTTGAGAGGAACCAAGACTCAGAAGGGGAACACATCCTCCTCTGGTCGACACCGGATAGTTAAACATTGTTAGTACAAAAAACGGGGAAAACAGGTGGAGCAATGATTAATTTGATTAGTTTAGTTTATGCAGCAGCAGCATCATCAGTGGGGTCAGGTTGTGAGGGTGAGGTTTGCACGGCGTAGTACAGCATGAAGCTCAATGGTGGTCAAGCCGGCCCAGAGGGCTGGCAGCAGTGGCACCCCATCAAGGCAGAAGAGGCAACAGCATCAGAGGCACAGGATGGGCAGCTGTTCAACTCGGCAAAGAAAAGAAAGGAAAAACACACAGAGAGTCAGTTCTGTAATGAGTGACTGATCACAGATTACAGTGTTAGCAGAGCAGCAGAGACTCTGGCAGGTATAGAACCAACAGGGAACTGTGCCAAAAATGATTCAGCAACTAATGCAACAGGAGGTATTTCACCCTCTGTGGTGCATAATATCATCAAAAGATTCAGGGAATCCAGAGAAATCTCTGTGCATGAAAGGCAAGGGCAAAAACCACAACTGAAAGGCCCTCGATCCCTCAGACGGCACTGCGTTAAAAAACGGCACGCTTCTGTATTGGACATCACCACATGGTCCTGGGAATATGTTAACTAACTGTTGTCAATAAACACCATTTGTCACCACATTTACAGATGCAAGACTTCACTATACACAGCAGAAGCTTTGTGTCAACAACCTCCAGCAACAGTGTCTACTTCTCTGAGCTCAGGCTCGTCAGAAATGGACTGACGCGCAGTGGAATATTATGATCTGACGAGTTAACCTTTCTAATTGTTTAGGGAAATAATGAAGGTTGGGGTTTTTGGGCCAAAGAAGAAGAGAAACTTCCAGATTGTTACCAGCATAAAGTTCAAAAGCGAAGGTGTGTCATGGTATCAGTGTGTATTGGTGCCCATGGAATGAGTAACTTGCATGTCTGGGAGAGCCGTATTAATGATGACAGTCATAACCGTTTTAGAGCAACATATACTGATAACATCTTTTAAAGTAATGTTCATTTAAGCAATAAAACACGAGAGGGAGTGTGTTATTATGAAATAACATCACAGCTGTGATTTGGTCACCGTAGATCATCACAGCCGTGATGCCATTGGCGATAACACACTCCTCGAGTGTTCTACTGCTTTAATACAACAGTTAAATAAATAAAGTAATAAATTAATAAACTGGGTCGTGAACGCCGCGTTTAATATGTTTTAATGTTCGCAGTTCCTTCACCAAATTATAGTTCCTTAATGAGCAGCTTGTTGCTACGTCAGAGTAACGAGCTCCGCCCACTCGCTGCACAGTCTGCTGTAAGCCTCGCCTTTTGAAGTACAGACTGAGCTATAAAACTGCCGCAATATCAAGTTCAGCTCAGTTTTGTCAGTTTTTGCCAGATCAGTATTAATGTTGTTTTGTTCCAGCCAGTCTGTAAAGCATCTTACAGCCCATTTAGTTTGGCGAATGGTGTTGGGTTCATTTCTGGCTGATTCCAGGTTGTTCAGCTGTTCTTCTGTCTCAGCTGCCGACTGAAAAGCTGCTCAGTGGTGATGACAGTTTGGGAATTTAGTGTCGTCTCATCTTCAGAGTCTGACCAAATCGGCTGTCGGTCAAATGTGATCTTAAAAGTATCCGTTTTCTGTCAGAAGTAAAAAAACGTTCAAATGGCTTGAGCGTCTCCTACAGCTGTCAGAGTCGTTGCTTAGCATTTGTCAGGTTTTGTGAAGCTGCAACTTAGTCAGAAAGCCAAAAACCCTGCTTCATTACACAAACACCAGATGCACTACTTTTTGTTGTCTGACTACAAGCCAAAACAAACAGCATAATGTTAACACCACAAAAAATATATATTTAAGCTTTCTTCTCCTCATCTTCTCTTTTTCTTCTCAGTCGTTCAGCCCCATGTGCTTATGTTTGTTTTTGAGACATGATTAACCAGTTGTTTTTACCCCTTACTCGAACATCTTAGACAACAGGAAAAGGAGACGTTATGTAATACAGTGATATACACCGATGTGTCTGATCCACTCAGACCAGCACAACACACACTAACACACCACCACCACGTCAGTGTTACTGCAGTGCTGAGAATGGCCCACCACCCAAATAGTACCTGCTCTGTGAGGGTCCATGGGGGTCCTGACCACTGAAGAACAGGGTAAAAGGGGGCTAACAAAGTATCAGAGAAACAGATGGACTACAGTCTGTAACTGTAGAACTACAAAGTGCACCTATATAGTAAGTGGAGCTGATAAAATGGACAATGAGCGTAGAAACAAGGAGGTGGTCAGAATGTTATGCCTGATCGGAGTAACATGTTGCAGTAATGCAATTTGAAATGAGTGTATATTTTAGGTTTACATTGTAAAACATAATGTTTTGTGTTTGTGTGCTGTTTTCAGTTTTATACAGGGCGAATTTATTTTATTGAACTTATTGATCACTGCTTTTTTAGTATTTCATGCATCATCCTGACTTTTGGAATTGAAGTTTGTATGAATCTCTTTTATTTTTATTTGCAGATATGTGAAGCTTTACGATGTCTGACATGTCTGAATGAAAGCATGACAAAACGAGTCCAATGTCACTCTCTCGCTTCCTCCTGCCATGTTGACCTTTTCGCTGTTTCAGGGTGACAAGATGACCTTTCTGTGACCCTCTCCACCCTCGGTCGCCACAACACACTTCTATACTCTTCAGACAGATCGGGCCGTCTGGTCGTCACTCTTCGGCAGCTGAACGCGTCCAGACGGGAATACGCAATCAGGCTGTGTGGTGTGCAGTCCACGCGTATTGCCACTTAGATCTATCATTCTGATTGATCACGGTCTAATTGCCTATTATTGAGGCTAATTTAACCCTATCCACTGGAACATCCATCTGCCACCTCGATTCCAACTGACAATCTACAAATTACTTACCCATGCAAATGGTGACCCCGGCTGACCTTTTGCTGTTCCTCCTCTCTAATTATACCAACAGCTCGTCGGCTAAATAAGATTACTTCAGCTAGCTGTATGTTCGTGTGCTCCTTGATGAAGGTGAAATGTAATTTCCATGTAGATTTCCTCACCAGCGCCTCAGTAATGGACACTGGCAGTTTTGGACTGTTATTAATACTGGGGCTTAGACAGAACCTCAGGTTGCTGGAAGGAGTGGGCAGCTGCTTTCCCTCTTGAGGATGGCGCCAAAGGCAGGAGCCCAGCAGGCGAAGGTGACTCCTCTTAGAAAGGAGGAGTAAGTGCGCTGCCTCTGAACTGTCTCGCTGAGCCGGTGTCAGTGTCAGGGCCAGGATGGTTGGCCTGTAGGTGACAACTCGATCCACTGACCTGTAGTGCTGCTTTTTCAAGTCCACGTCTCTGCCTCACACTCTTTGCAACAGTTTTAAGTTCAACTTGGACTGGACTACCATGGAAAGACTAGTAGATGAACGCTTCATTAAGGGTTATACAACAGTTAGCTCCGGCCACGCAAGCTGATTGGTTGAGAAGCATTCTAACCGTTTTTCACAAACACTGTATCACTCTGCTGAGACGCCGTTGCTAAGCAACGACTTTGACAGCTGTAGGAGACGCTCAAGACATTTGAACGTTTTTACTTCTTACTTTGCCACAAACAGAAAACGGATACTTTTAAGATCACATTTGACCGACAGCCGATTTGGTCAGACTCTGAAGATGAGACGACACTAAATTCCCAAACTGTCATCACCACTGAGCAGCTTTTCAGTCGGCAGCTGAGACAGAAGAACAGCTAAACAACCTGGAATCAGCCAGAAATGAACCCAACACCATTCGCCAAACGTGTAGTCTGATCTTCAGAGTCTGACCAAATCAGACTGAGCCATAAAACTGCCGCAATATCAAGTTCAGCTCAGTTTTGTCAGTTTCTGCCAGATCAGTATTAATGTTGTTTTGTTCCAGCCAGTCTGTAAAGCATCTTACAGCCCATTTAGTTTGGCGAATGGTGTTGGGTTCATTTCTGGCTGATTCCAGGTTGTTCAGCTGTTCTTCTGTCACAGCTGCCGACTGAAAAGCTGCTCAGTGGTGATGACTGTTTGGGAATTTAGTGTAAGGAGCTGGAGAACGAACTGCCGGCTGTGCAGCGAGTGGGCGGAGCTCGTTACTCTGACGTAGCAACAAGCTGCTCGTTAAGGAACTATAATTTGGTGAAGGAACTGCGAACATTAAAACATATTAAACGCCGCGTTCACGGCCCAGTTTATTAATTTATTACTTTATTTATTTAACTGTTGTATTAAAGCAATAGAACACTCGAGGAGTGTGTTATCGCCAATAACATCACGGCTGTGATGATCTACGGTAACCAAATCACAGCCATGATGTTATTTGCTCCATCTGCTGCATCTGTAGCGTATGGCCGATTACCACAAACAACAATTTCACACGTTTTCCTGAAATTAGAAAACAAAGATTGACTCAAACTAACTTATAACAGAATCTGTTCTGGAGATAAAAGCTCAGGGCATTTACCTTCAGTTTTGCCAGTTAGTAAAATGCATGCTTAGATTGAGGTCAGGTGTTTGACTTGTCCATTACAAAACATCCCACTTCTTTGCCTTAAAAAGTCTTAGGCTGCTTTTGCAGGATGCTTTAGGTCATTGTCCATCTGCTCTGTGAAGCGCTGTCCAAATATTTTTTAAGCATTTGGCTAAATCCTTGCAGATTATTTTGCCTCACACACTTTTGAATTCTTCCTGCTGCTTTTGTCATCAGTCACTGTCAATAAATACAAGGGAACTAGTTCGATTGGCAGCCACACCCTCAGCCATGCCATAACACTACCTCCACCATGCTTTACAGATGAGGTGGTATGCTTTGGATCATGAGAGGTTCTTCTTCTCCATCATTCTGGAACACATTGGTCTTTATCTCATCTGTATGTAAGATGTTGTTACAGATCTCTAAAGGCTTTTTAGATGTTTTTTTTTTTTGCCAAACTCTGATCTGGTCTTCCTGTTTTTGAGGCTTACCTATTGTTTACATCTCGGGATAACTCTCTGTATTTACCCTGGTGAAGTCTTCTCTTGATTATTGACTTTCATGCAGATATGCCTGCCTCCTCAAAGATGCTCTTGATCTGGGCAACTGTTGTTAAGGAGTTTTTCTTCACCAAGGAAAGAATTATTCTTTAAGACACCACAAGTTGTTTTCTGTCTTCCAGGCCTCCTGATCTTCCTGACCTCACCAGTGCGTTCTTACTTTTTAAGAATGTAGCAAATAGTTGATTTGGCCACACCCAAATCAACTGTCTGTGATAAATTTGTTTTGATTTTTCAGCCTAATGCGTACTTCACTGCCAGTGACTCTCTTTGGACTTCATATTGAGAGTTAACAGCTGCAGATTCCAAATGCAAACACAGCACTAGAAATCAACTCTAGACCTTTTATCAGGTTACTTGTAAGTGTAATGATACCTGGCCTTGGAATTACTGAACAACAATTACTTTTGAGCCCCTAAAAATTGGGAGCTGTGTTTGAAAATTGTTGTAATTTCTACACTGTTCACCTGATTTGGACGTAATATCCTCAAATTAACACTGAAAATCATTGAGTTTACATCCATGATTTAATTTCAACTCTGATTAGCTGTGGTAGACAGCTAAATTAGCTTTGTCGACATCCAAATAATTATGGACCTGTAGATAAATGTTTAACCAATTCTTTCAGTAAAAGGTTCATGTAATACACTTATCATGTGTAATTACATGACTAAAAACTGAAGTTGATTTATATGTATTTACTATTGTAATCCATTTGTAGCAGACAATACATCCCCAGTAGCTACACTGTTGTTGCATGTATTGTTAATGTGTAATTACACAGTTATGAGAGACCATTACAAAGTAAAACCAAAATGATTGTCACTGTGATTTCAGGTGTGGGCTGTGAACTCGGCAGGTCGTGCCGGCAGCCCATGGGCTCTGGGCCGGACTGGGCCAGCTCCCCCTGAAGGCGTGAGCCCCCCCAAATTCCTGCGCGTCCATGCTACCTCTGCCGTAGTGGACATCACCCCGCCGTCCAAACCCAACGGCATCATCAGCCTCTACAGGGTGTTCGCCCAGAAAAAGGACACGCACCTCCTGGTACACACCACACACTACACTCTGCAGTCTCACAGCCTCCTGTTATAACATGCTTTCAGTTAGTGAAATTTGGCGGTTTTGTTTGACAATATGAAGTTACAGCACATGGAGTTTTTAAGGACTCTTAAGGCCTCAGTAGACTTCTTGCAGAGACGACGTTCGCCTGGCCTCAGCAAACAACATGACGTAATTACAGAGAAAACGAACAACCGCAGATGTTGCGCGGAGGCTTTGTCCGCCGTGTCGCGCACATGGCAGCTGGGCAAACTGTGGACGAAGACGCTACTCGACAAAGCCTCTGATTGGTCGGAAAAAAGAGAGGTGCCATTAAACAAAGATGGACGACTCTGAGGAGCTTTGGGTTTGGCAGATACACTTATATTTCACTGTGAGATGCACATTTGTTAAATAAACGATGAATATCTACTAAATGTAAGAAGTCTATTATTCGGTAGTACTTAGTAGTACTAAGCACCAAAACATACAGGTTATCTTATATTTAGGTTCATAAGAGGACGAGGCTGAAGTTGGCTTTCTATTCACCAGCTTCTTCTTTGAATTTTCCCGTTCCACCTTAAATGGTGGCGCTATTCTGAGCTCAAACGTCACCATAGTTAGAACTGTGAAAGAATCGTTTTCCAGCAGCCATGAAACTTATCATAAAATGTCATAGCAACGTGGAGCATCCGTGACAGGCAACACCAAACCGCAGAAGGTATGCGAGGTTGTAAGCTCTCAACCCTCGAGAATTTCGTTCCGCAAGAAGTGCTGAGGCCTTTACTCTGGTTTATGAGAAGGCAGATAAACACTTACCAAGCACTTTATTAGGAACACTATACTAAAACTGGGTTGGGCCTCCTTTGCTCTCAAAACAGCATTAATTCTTCATGGCATGTGATGTCAGGTGCACGTTCATGCTGCGAATCTCCCGTTCAACCACATCCCAAAGGTGATTAGATTAGATTAGATTCAACTTTGTCATTGTGCAGAATACAGGTAAACAGCCACTGAAATTCAGTTAGCATCTAATCAGAAGTGCAAAATACAGTATTATTTACATATTAAGTGCAGAAGGACAGTATAGTGGTTAAAAAAATCTAGATATGGAAGTATAAATATATATATATATATACAGAGTGAGTGGAGAGCGTACAATGTGGTAGTATGTCCTATGAGGTAGTATGTCCTATGAGGTAGTATGTCCTGTGGGAGGAGCATATGTAAACTTGTACAGTAGTTGTTGGTGCGAATATAAATAGTGCAGTAATAGACTGTGCAAATATGAATAGTGCAATAATACTAGGACTAGTGTTCATTTGGATTCAGATCTAATTAATTGGGAAGTGATTGGGAAGGTTCCTGAAGAGCATTGAACTCAATGTCATGACCATGAAACAGTCTGAGACGACTTGTTTTGTGATGTGGTGCATTATCATGCTGGAATTAATCGTTAGTCGATGGATAAATGCAGGGAAGCACATGATCAGCAACAATACTCCAAAAATGAAAAACGAGTACTTTGAGCTTAATGGCCATTTTGACTAGAAATGAAATAAATCCCTGACGGAACTGCATACAGTATATAAATACAGCAACATGCTCTGCTGTACAGGTCCAGGTAAAACAGACAGCAGGAGATGGTTTGAGAGGAGTGGCTTTAGCTCCACCAGTGACCAATGTAATATCACGTTCTACCTTACTCTCTGTGTGTAGCTGTCAGAGGGAACGTCCCGCCAGCAGACTCTACACGGCCTCATGCCCTTCACTGTGTACTCGGTCGGGGTGGAAGCCTGCACCTGCTTCCTGTGCTGCAGCCGAGGTCCT